GCTCGCAAGGCTCGGGTGAGCGGGTGCCTTACGGGGTCTGGGTTGTTGTGGTGGCATTTGTTACACGGTGAGCCCAGGCGGGAGCCTCTCATCAGGGCTCTGTACTGCTATGGTCGTCGTGGCTTTTTCATCTTAGTTCTCACCGAACTCGCTAACACATTGTGGTTCTGAGCACTCACAGGTTGCTGCGGGTCTAGTGGTCATGCTGATACCACCTAAATAGTTCTTAAAATGAGCTGGCACTCAAATATTTCAGTCTTATATGGCTCTTCCCTCCTCACACGTCTTTGGTTTTGCATTACAGTGTGTTCATGAAGTTTTGTCTAACTTGAGGCACTTACTGCTGGGCTGTTCAGCTAATTACACTAATGTTGTTAATAATACATACTTAGGTTGCTTGTCTGCATTCTGTGCTGTTCTTGCACTTTTGGAATATGTTTTCTGTTGGAAAGTTGTTTAATGTTAAGAAATTGATTGTAAAGTCTTGTTTTGAGGTGTGATCCTGAAAGCCCTTTTCTGTGTAAGTGGTCCCACTTACTGGGTTAATTTTTTGTAGTTTATGTCCTGCATTTGTATATGAGATTCTGAATTACAAAGCTGTAGGAAGTGGTGGAAAATCCATGAGGGAAAAGAAGAGGAGTAGGAGAATAATGGAGTAGTAGAATAACCACACACAGCTGTTGAAATGCAAGTTTCATAAGTAAGAAAACAGGGTTTGCTTCTTGTATTTTCTCTTCCTCTTTCTCGCCTTCCTACTTTGCCCTCTTCAGCTTTTGTTTCAGTGCATTACTTCGGAGTAGTACAGATTTTGCAGGCCAGTTGTTAATCTGAAACGCATTATGTCTTCTTTTTCGTCTGTACCTGTCTATGGGATGACCAGGCCTCATGGCAACAGGACCAAAGCCTTCCACTGCAGTGGAAGCGAGTTGTCTGTGGTTTAGAAGCTATGTATATGGATGACTTAAAAATTCACTTTATTTTTTTCTACTTGTTCCAGATGGAAAAGAAGAGTTCCTGGTTTCTGGTTTGCAGAACAGCAGAGGCTGAATAGGCATAAAGGAGACTATAGTGCAGGAGAGAAGCGTCAAGGCCCTTGCAAGGCTTTGCTCTGTAAAAAAAGAAGAAATGAATCCTACAAATGATGATCCAGTGTTTGTAACCATTTTTGACTGGGACTATCTCTTATGGGAAGTTCGTTTGACATTTTTAGCTGCTGGTTTTTTAATCTACTTGGGAGTATTTCTTCTGTCTCACTGGTTGTCTTCACGGATAAGTACTACTTATCATGCCTTGTATCCAAAGGAGAAGGTGTTTTGGAATATGGCAGTCACACGTGGTGTATTTGGACTTCAGAGTTGTGTTGCTGGATTATGGGCTTTGCTCATAGATCCTGTTTTTCATGCTGACAAAGTGTACTCACAGCAAAAGTGGAGTTGGTTTAACTGTTTAATAGCAGCTGGATTTTTCTTGCTTGAAAATGTAGCTGTTCACATGTCCAACATTATTTTTAGAACATTTGATGTGTTCTTGGTAGTTCATCACTTGCTTGCTTTTGGTGGCTTGGCTGGTCTAGTAATTAATGTGAAATCTGGACATTATCTGCCTTTGATGGGAATGTTGCTGGAGATGAGTACTCCCTCAACATGCATTTCCTGGATGCTCCTAAAGGTAAGAACGTGATAATTTTCAAATTATGTTTGTAACAGTTTTCATGCATCTCACTTGTCCATAGGTAATCTGTGTGGTTTGTCTGGATAGCTTTTCAGCAAAACTGTGTTCATCTAACTGGTATCCATGTTATTGTGATACCTGCTTTTGTTGTGATTATATCCCTATAGTCCTCCATAAGATTTCTGCGTGATGCTGTGTGCGTGTGGATAGTGAGATGGTATAGATTCATTCTGAGTTTGGGATGACTTATGCATGTGGAATATCATAGCTCTACATGGAAAAAATGCCTGAGAGTGTGTGTATGTGAAAGCTGGATATTTGCATTATTTCTACAGATTCGTCAGTGCCTTATCATTAAATAACAATCTCACTTCTGCATACTTTCTGTTCTTGTTTTTCTAGGCTGGCTGTGCTAATACCTTTTTCTGGAAGGCAAACCAGTGGGTGATGATCCACCTGTTTCACTGCCGCATGATTCTTACTTATCACATGTGGTGGGTGTGTATTTTCAATTGGAATTCTGTGATGGAAAATCTGGGACTTCTTCATTTTATTGTTTTATTCTTGGGATTATTTGCTGTTACACTAATACTTAACCCATACTGGACATACAAAAAAACTCAGCAGCTCCTCAGCCCAACTGACTGGAACTTTGAAAATAAAGCAGTGGAAAATGGAAAATTAAATGGTGAACCACATCCAAAGAAGAGGATATAACACTGAAACAGCTGTTTCCTAGTAGGGTAGTGGAAGAATACAATGCAAAGTAATTCTTTGCCCGTGACTTAGAAGCTTTTCCAAGAAGCTCATTAACACAGTAATTCCTTGCTGGTAGTATTCTGTATGCACCAGAAGTATTCAGAAGCATTGTTTGTGTTTCATATATGCGTATACATAAGATCTTCAACCTCTTAGTTATGAATTATGCCAACCATTTTGTCAGGTTGGACAGTATTTCATGATTTAGTAGTGACATGGTCTCTAATGGCATCCTTTGTCCTAATGCTTCAGAGTGGCTTTATGGTTAATTTGTCTATTAAGCTCAGTTTTAACAAGTTTAGCTTGAGTCCTATTTCATATATGTCAAAGATACTGATACTGGAAATTATGTTGTTTATTAAGATCAATTATGACCTAAGTTAGGTATGCATGGATACCTAGTTCCTGTGTGCCATTAAATCATTCCAACTGGCTGAACTGGTCATGTGGCAGAATGCAGTCATGGCTGGGTTGGTTTGTTGGGGTTTTTTTTTGTTGTTTGCATTTTTTTTTCTTTTAAGTGCTTTTGAGGAGGAGGGAGATAATTATTTGAGTGTTCACTGTCAAAGTGAGTTGTAGTTGCTATGTTGTCCTCAGTATGGGAGGAGTTCATATCCACCACAAACGTGCATATGGGGATGCAGGCATTTGTTTATACTGGTGGTCTAGCTAGGAATCGTAGTGGTCCCTTGTGCACTTGAAATCAATGAAATACAAGAGGCAACTATAGAATGTTTGACTCTGTTTCATCCTTGAAAAGATTGCTGGTTGATTGGTAAAATTATATTCTTTTTACATACCACGTGAGTGGTCATGCAATTAGTTCCACTAGTGCTCCTGTTATGGTTCCTCTTATTTTTGGAAGTAATCATATTTATAGAGGGTTTTAGAATCTGAGATGACTCTTGTGGAGGAAGGCCTGTATCACCTCCTTTAGGAGTTCAGTTGTTCTAGTATTTTTATTTTGCTTCAAAGAACATACAAAATGACACTAAAAATCCTTTGCACTTTATCTGCCTCATCACTAAATATTTCCTTGGCATAAGCAATAGAACTGCTTTTTAGATGGAGTCTTGGCAAATTGGGGTGGGTGTTCTCCCACTAATAGTATTGGTCTGACGGTTCCTGGGTGAATCGTTGGATATTAGGTGATGGTATGAAGATCACGATAGAAAAGAGTGACGCCTAGCGGCAGGAGAATGGCAAAGATATTAATTAGGTTTGGCACACTGAACTAGTGAGATAAAAAGCCCGTCATTTGAAACTTTGTCATATAGCGTGATGGGACTGCTACACAGGTTTATTTTCCAAAGTAATAACACTGGGCAAGCCCAAGCTGTGAAAAATTTTGGGTCAAGGCATGTGTTACAGGTTTTGTGTACTGCTCTGTAGTGGAGCATGTTGTTTTAAATGTGTAAGGGAAGCACTGTTTGGTGTAAACAAGCTAATTTTATTTATTTGTTTGGTGGGAATGGCTTTGGTTTTGTTCTGCTCTCTGAGGGAGAGGAAACTACTTACTAGTAGGTCACAAACGTATAGCCAGTTCTTGTTAATAATGGTGAAGTGGTGAATATCTGAAATTGCCTGTTCAAAACCAGGCAGAGAGGGTCAAGTAAGTTTACACAGCAACCCTATCTTGTATCCTGATGATATTCAACAGAGAAAATCTAAATTCTGTGCTACCTTCTTATTTCTAAGCAGGGCAGAATGAGGCTGTGGTATTTTGCCAGTGTTGCCTGTCTGGACGCCATCCTATAGAAAAAAGGGTTAAAGCTTGAAATGACGAACCTCTCCTGAGGGGTTGTGTGGTTGTTAAAAGTACTTTAGAAGAAAGCAGAAGCATGAATTCCTCAGAAACAGAACCCAAATTTGTATTCCAAATGCATATTTTGCAGAATCCAAACTTTATTTGCAGGAGTTCCAGGCGGGAAGGTGGAGGATAACTCACCAGATATCAAAATGATGCTGTGCTCTATGCAGCTTAAAACGTAAAAGGTTTGGATTTGATAAAACAAGGTAATAATTATAAAAATCCCAGATGCAGAATTCTGAAGAATCCTAACAGAGAATGGAAGCATCAGAAGAGAAATAAGTTTGAGCCAAAAGTGTAATTCTTGTAGTGGCTGGCTAAAGGAGGTGAAGTTTTTATGTGCTAAAATAAAAAAAATATGGAAGGTTGGGGTTAGTAGTGAATTTGGGACTGAAGAAAGAGATTAGGTGTGGTCCAAGCAGACAGCTGGATAGCTATGTCAGTGACATCAGACTTCTAAAGTTTAATATTTTGTATTATTTGTGTAATGTTACTAACTGGATTTTAAATCTTTCCTTAAAAGTAATTTTTATCATAATAAGGCAATATTTTTAGTATGCATCTTAGTGTGAGTTTTTTCATGCAAAGACTGTTACGGTATACTTTGAAAATCTATATAATTAATAATACCTGAGAGCACCTGTTAACCTAAACGCTGCTAGACCTGCTAGAACAAGAGAGCTATGCGATAAAGCAAATAACAGCACTCATTTTATTTCTGTTGCTTTGAGGGGCGAGGGTTGTTTTACAGTCCAGGTAGAAATAGAATAGGACATACAAATACAGACAACCTTTCTTCTACATCTTGACGGCCTAGAGTTGGAGTTACCAGTTTTGTTACGCAGAGCCTCTTTTTTTTATACTCAGATGCCTTTTGGCTGCTCCTTTCAAGAGAATTTTCTGGTTTATGATTGTGGGTGACTATCTCATTACTCTGAAACAAAACTGAAAAAGTTCTCTAACTGACGGTTTTGCTGTTTAATTACTAAGTGCTACTTTTCCACCCACGGGTAGACTAGCCATACTTTAGTTTATACATTTTGTTAATGTGAAGCGAATCCCAGTCCTGTTGGGCCTTTTAAAAGGCCTCATCTGCAATCCGATGTAGAAAAATTCAGTCAGCTTCAGTAGTGGCTGAATCAGGTCACAGGGCATGCTGTTGCCATGAGTTGGAACACTCTTGCATAATATATTTTCTGGTGAATTTTTTGTTTGCCTAGATGACCATTAAAGACTTCATCCTGTTTTCTTGTTGGACAAGCTTATTCAAGGAGTGCTGTTTGTGTCAAATTTCCGGCTGAAGCTGTTTTTAAAAACCAAATGAAACAAAACTCAAACAACAAACTATGATGGGGGTGGGGGAGTGTGTGTGTTTGTTTTTGAAGAAAAATAGCTGATCTAAGACACCCTGGCCAGGCATCTGGTTCTTACTGTCTTCATAGAGCATTCCTAAATCATGATTTGTGTTTGCCTCCATTTTTGTCCTATCTTTTTCCAAAACCTGTTTCCCCTCCTGCCCACCAGTTTTTCTATAATATTTACTCTTACTTGCAGGACTGGTCATAATCTTGCAGCAGTCACATTGCCGCAGTGAAGTCTTTTGTGTAATATTTTTCAGCACGTACTGTTGGGTCCTTCTTCCACTAAATACCCCTGTCCAAATCTTTCAGATTTTTTTTGTTTTTTTTTTTTCTTAATAACACTGCTTAAATATTGATGTAATGTACAGTTGTAAGATACCTTTCTTAACCTTAGGGAGACTCCCACTTAAAGTGAATTTAGAAGTGTTAAGCAAATTCAAGTATGCTCTTGTACAATATAATGTTTGCTGAATGGTTACAGCATCTTTACAGTGTGTACATAAATAAAATTATTTTATTGAATAATTGTCTACCGTGAGTTTCATTTGCTGGTGAAAATAATGCCTATTATTTTTTACTTGCTATTTGTAGGTTAAACAGGTTTTTTGCAGTGCATGCACTAAAAAGATGACTTGTTTATTTTGAAATATTCTCTTAAACTTGACGAAGGTGATGTCATATCCATGGAAATATCTATAAAGACTTGTAAACTAATGTTCCTTCACCAGCCTTTAACATACTATTAACATGAGTGTGTGTAGTTACATGACTAAAACACTAGAAGCTGCGCTATATATAAGTATGTATTAGAAACAGTTAAAAGCTTCACTTGGAAATTACCCTTCTGGTTTGTGTATGAAGTGTGTGGTGTATTTTTGCATTAGGCTCTAACTGTGAAGACACTTCATTTGGTACATGACACTTCATAGTTTAGTATGAGCCACCTTAAATTAAAAAAAAAACAAAGCAAAACACAACAAAAAACCACCAAAACTTGTCTCATTGCTAAATAATAAAATACAATTCTAAGCATTAAACGTGTCTTGTGTGGTGCTTTGCAGCAATTGATGAAGCTTTTTAGCATTAGTGAGTTAAAGGAAAAGAGCATCATTACTGGCATTTTAATTCTTCTACAAATGCACTGTGTAAGCAACTGGCTGGCATAATTTTGCTAGCTGCCTCTGCAGTGAAGTCCTAAGATTAACTGAAGCAGAAGTAAGACATTCATGTGTAAAGCTCTGCTAACTGTGGAATGTGTTTGGGCACAGACTGGGATGAGAAGAACAATGCTTAACAGTATTTGTATGAATAAAGTCCTTTTTTTGTAAGTAATCTGTAAAAGGATTTTAAATGTCATTAATGTTTTGCTATTCAGATGTTTTCAAGTAATAGATAAACAAGTTTTACTTCATAGTTCTTACCATATTCCCAGAAAAAGTATTAGAGCACACACGCTGACAGTGTTATTCAGCCATTACAATCCTTTGATCTTGTGTCATGGTATTGGTATTCAAGTTGATAATTTGTAACAAAAAATAAGTGACAGTCATTAATTAAGTAAATTATGCCTGTTGCTCTAGTTATCAGCCCTCAGATGGGTTTCCAGTGTTGGAAGAGACATTGCGTGCTCTGGATCTGTTGACTAATTAGCATCTTCTGCTAGTGGTAGTGTCACAGAGCAGAAAAAAGGGTGCTTGTAGCACATTGTGCCTTCCTGTCTTCTGTAAGTAAAACAGTGCTGAGTGAGGTGGAATGACAGAGATAATGATGCAGCAAATGTGCAAGGG